CCCCCAGAATCTGTTGCTTGCCATCTCAGAAGGCGATCCGCATGGAAGGCATTTTTCTCAGCAGTGAAATTTACATATCACAACCTTGCTGAGAGCTGTAGAAATAATGGGGGGCGGGGGTGGGGGTGGCCTGTGAGTCTTTGTGGGGGAAGCGAGAGGGAGGGGGAAAAGCCAGTTTTGTTACTCAGGAATGAAAACATGGTGAGTAATGAATAAAGTCCGAAAGCAGTAAATTTGGGACTTTGGGGTTAGGTGTGTAACACGCCGGAGAACAATTTGAGGCACCGCCTCTTCTGCAGAGGTGAGGCATTGGGGCTGCTTTTCACAGCCTGAATTTCATTAAATGGCCTTTTAAGGGTTAGGATTACAAGAAGCCCCGTCCAGCTGGTTCATAAGGATGATTTATGGCTGTGTTGTCGACTCCCCGACCCTTCTGTACAAGGGGAGAGAGAAAATACATAATTCGTTGCTCATTACTCCAGGATCTGTCAGGCCTGCCCCTGAAGCCATGTGTGCCCGGAGTCATGTGTCTGCTAAGTGGTTTTAGCCTGGTGCCCCCCTGAAAAATAGGCAACTGTCATTTCTGCAGGGGAAAGTGTTTCTTTATAACAATAGAAACAGAGACTTTGAACTAGAGAGTCAGAATTACCTGGGCACTGCCTTTAACTCAGCTCTTCAACTCAGAAAGACCAGCCACCCCCAAAAGCGATGGCGTTGGTCACGTGGCAGGTCGGTGAGAATGAGGTCCACCCTCAGGGGGGGTGGCGGGGGAGTGGACCGACACTGGCTGCAACCGCGGGCTCCGGCACCCCAAGGATCTTGAAGGTGGTGCAGACCCGGCCATGGTTTTGTTCTGCGATATGTAAATTCGCCATGAGTTGATCCAACTGGGTGGCAACTAACAACGATGACACTTTTTAGCTGGGTCATTTCCTAGCCTTAGGAGCTTCAGCGAGGTCATTTTGTTGCCCTGAGCTCTGATAACTCCATTCCTAGCGAGTGGGGTTTTTTATTCCACTGTGTTCAACGGGCGAGACGAGACTGGACCCAAACCCACTCCCTGCCATCAAGTCACAGACCCTCAGAGCGACTCTAAAGGGCAGGGTGGGACTGCCCCCGTGAGTTTCCAAGACTAACTCTATGAGAATAGGAATCTTCGTCTTTCTCCAGTAGTGACTGGTGGTTTCGAACCACTCACCTAGTTAGCAGCCCAACAAGTAACCACTACACCACAAGACTGAAGTGGGATAGAAAGGTAGAGGTGCCACATTATTAGCGATGCTGCCGTTGGGCACTTGAAGTTCCATACAATGTTCGCCCCCTTAGCTCGGTTCCCCATGGGTAGAGGACACACTTCCATTCCCAATGGACACCTTGCAAACATGGCCCTCACAGCTTGCATTTAGAGTGGCGGGATATTCAAGCTGAATCGGGCCCTGGAGTGGTGTGTGATCAGCGGCTCATGCGAGGTTAGCCATTACGTTTGCTTACAATGTGCGGAGGCCCTGCTACATGTCCAAGTGCTCTCATCATCAAACAGGAAACTTGATACAGAAACCCTGTCTTGCATGGCTTCTGTAGCAGTGACTTGGTTCAGCAAACTCTGGCCCCATCCAAGGACGGAGACTGGGAGTGAAACTCCGGCCCCGCCCCTTGTCTGCGGTGTCAATGCTGAGGAAGTGATTTTCCTCTGCTTCTAAGATGCCCTTTGCCTCGTTGGGAGAAGAGCACCAGAGATGGCGCAGCAGAACAGAACAAACGTCCCCGCAACCCTGACATCGCGAATCCAGCGAGCTCACTTTGCAGATGGGAGAGCTGACTTGTCCCCTCTCCACCCAGTGAGCGGTGCCCACGTAGGACCTTGAACTGGGCTGCTGGAATCTGTTTAGTGTTCTGCCCCCTGCACGGAAAGGCATTCTAACCATTGTTAGAATGACTTATGAACTTTTAAAAGAATAAAAAATTATGGTGATGAGCATCTGGACCGTGTTCACCGGCGAGGTTACGTGGGGCGAAAGTGTAACAGGTGCCAAAGAAGGATCCGATCGGGACTGGTAGGAAGGAATGTTTGCGGGGGAGTCAGGCACCTGGGTCTAATCTTGAACTATGAGTTCACTTGGACCTCAGTTTCTTCTTGCTATAATGGTCCCTTTCATGTCCGACTCGCTTGGCTGCCCCATGTTCATTTCTGCGATGTGTTATCAAAGAGCTCTTAGTAATATTTAGAGGATATTTCCAATTTTACAGTAAGGCAGCTCCGACAACTATTCCACTCCCTACCTTCAAGGTCCAGCTCAAGTTCATCCATCCGTTCACCTGGGAGTCTCTGAGCATCTCCCGTGGGGCTGGGGTGAGAAGCTTCCACCCCCACCCTGCCGGCATGGCTCGGCCTGGGTCCTGGGCTAGGCCGTCCTTTTCTAGTACAGAATCACTCAATCACCTGATAGGATCTGGGTTTGGGGGCGGGTGGAGAGTGGGCAGCCCTGGTAAATAAAGAGCATCTCTAAACAACTGCTCGTAAGTTGATTCTACCTCTACTCTGAGCGTGGAACGGTCCCATAGCAGAGTGCCAGGGCTTTCTCCCGTGGAGCTGTTGAGTAGCTTCAAACCGCCAAGCTTTCGGCTAGCTGGCAAGCGCTTAACTACTGTACCACCAGGGCTCCTTACTTCCCCAGCTCAGAACCCCTGTGTGGATGTTAGCAGTACAGGCAGTAGCTGTTGGCACCACTGCACGTGTTTCTCCCTGGGTGCAGCTGGCGTAGATGGCTTCCCTGCCTTTGGACGTTGAAGCTCTGGGGACAATGACTCGATCAGGTGCTTGTCCTGGCTCCTTTCCCCATTGTCAACGAACAAGGAGAGTTTCTGAAAGGAGTGTCCGGCTCTGTCTGTCTATTGCTTCCCTTGTGGTTGTGGACATGCTGTCCGTTCCCTGAAAGGGCGAGGGTGGCTCGTTCATCATCCTTCCCTGGAAGGAAGTGTGAAAGGAACTCTTGTGGTGAGTGGAGGGTCGAGCATGGCAGTTCCCAGGCTGTGGTTGAAACCAGGAAGTGGCCAGGGTTGTGCAGTGGAGTTAAAGAACAGAGCGCTGGCTTTGTGGTCCCACTGTCCCTTGGGGGTGTGCATCACCAAGACAGAATGGGTCTTCTGCTTTTAGATGATAATAGGTTTTTACCGAGTAGACAATCAGCTGTTCATCAGCCACCAAAACAGGCCAGGGACTTCCCATGTCCGAACCTCAGTAGTATCTATACTGTGGCGGTTGTGAGAGTGGATGACACAGGACATGTAAAAATAATGCCTCGTCTGTTATGGTTGCTAGGTGCAGTTGGGTAGGTTCATCTGCACAGCACAAGGAAACATTGTCCTCATCTGCACCGGCCTCACACTCGTTGCCTGGTGTGAGACTGGGGCCCACCCATCTCCTGGAGCGTCTTCCTCTTTTTCTCTGACCTTCTATTGTACCAAGTGTGGTATCCTTCTCCAGGGACTTGCCCATCCCAAGGACATGCCCTTAAGTACGTTAAACATCTCGAGTTTTTTTTGCTGTACTTTCTCCGAGACGTGCTTGTTTGTTCTTCTGGCCCTCCGTGGTGTATCGCATATTCTTTGCCATGACCACACTCCAAAGGCCTTGGTTTTCCTTTGGCCCTCCTTATTCATTTCCCAGCTTTTGCATATGCACGAGGAGATTGAAAATACCATGGCTTGGGTCAAGTGCACCTCAGCCCTCAGAGAGTGACGTCTATGCATTTTAGCACGTTTAACGGGTCCAATTGCTGCAGACTTGTCCAGTGCAGCAGGTTTATCCAGCGCGGCAGACTTGTCCACTGCAGCAGACTTGTCCACTGCGGCAGACTTGTCCAGTGCAGCAGACTTGTCCGCTGCAGCAGACTTATCCAGTGCAGCAAAAGTAGCCAATGCAAGATGTCATTTGACTGCTTGATTGCTTGTTCTATGGGCATAGATGGTGGATCCGGGGGAAAATGAAACCCATGGCAATATAATAACTCATCCTCAGTCCGTGTATCATGACCTTGCTTTCTTGGTCTAGTCGTGAGGATCTTGGTGTGTGTTCTGTTGAGGTCTAATACATGCTGGAGACTAGGGTTATATCGTCGTCTGTAAATGCTTCGGGTCTTCTTCGCTTTCAGCAAAGCTTCCTCTAATTAATGCCAGCTGTGCTATTCCTCACTCCATATCTTGTCTGAATTTGGCTTGGATTTTTGGCATTTCCCAGTTGGTAAACGGCTGTAACCACTTTTGAATGGTCTTTACCAAAATTTTATTTGCGCATGATTTTATTGGCATTGTTTGATAATTTTCACATTTTGTTGGATCACTTTTCTTCATAAGGGGTACAAATATGGATCTCTTCCAGTTGGTGAGCCAGGTAGCTGCGCTCTGAATATTTTGGGGTTTGGTGAATAAACACTTCTAGCATCGCATGCCTTGGTTGAAACATCTTGTTGATATCCCATTCGTTTCTGGATCCTTCCTTTTCCTGAATACCTTAAGTGCGACTTGGCCTGACCTGAGTCAGTGTTAGCCCAAAGCCTGAGGTTAGATCGTTGTTGGTGATTCTTGAACTCCAGATTCCAGGATTTGGAGATTTGTCCTCAGTTCCCCAGACATCCCTCACCTCCCATTACAATGCGCTTGATTCTCCATCTATGTCTTGCCTCCCATAGGTAAACCATTGTTTCTTTCTCTCTTTAAAAGCAAAACTGTATTTACATGTAACTACATTTTATTCTTATGTGTATATTTTCCTGGTTGCAAAAGTAATACAAGGATAGCGTAGGATTTTAAATGAAACAAAGAATTAACCACAGTAGACTTTGATCATTCTTCCTGGGCATTTATGTCTCCGGGTACCCTTTAAACAGAAAAATGAGAGTTTTGTATTGGACATTTTGTTTAATGTTAGTAAATGCCTTGACAGTATCAGTTTGGATGATGGATCTTGATACAGCCTAATCCCTCTGCTGGTTTCCTTTCAGATCATCACAGGGGAATTCTACCGCATCTATTACCTGAAGGAGAAGTCCCGGTCAACGATTCAGAACCCCTATGTGGCGGCACTCTATAAGCAAGTGGGTTGCTTCCTCTTTGGCTGTGCCATCAGCCAGTCCTTCACAGACATTGCCAAAGTGTCCATAGGACGCCTGCGTCCTCACTTCTTGAGTGTCTGCGACCCAGACTTCAACCAGATCAACTGCTCCCAGGGCTACATTCAGAGCTACAAGTGCAGAGGAGATGAGAACAAAATCCAGGAAGCCAGGTGAGACACCACCTCCCCGTGGCCTCCAGCTTCCACTGGGGCGGTGGGGGTGGGGGTGGGCGGACGGAACAACAAAGCAAGCTCTCTGTTCTTGAGGCATTTGCAGTCCAATGATCACAAAATTGCCAGAGTCACAATTATGACACATACATTCATTCTCTTGTTCACCCATATCCTTACGTGAAAGGGAACGCGACGCTGTGCCCACTGTCAGGGTCACGGTCTAGAGAAGGAACCCAGACAGACAGACGCCAGCTATATGTTAGGGTTGTGAGTATGACTCATGGCCCTTTCTTGCTCTTGCAGGAAGTCCTTCTTCTCCGGCCACGCCTCCTTCTCCATGTACACCATGCTGTATTTGGTGGTAAGTACCTTCCCACTGGAGGGACACAGTGGCTGCACCAATGGACTCAGATGTGCGGGACAAGTGTGAGGGTGGCTTGGGACCAGGCGCTGTTTCGTTCTGTTGTACAGAGGGATGCTCCGAGTCAGACCCGCTTGACGGTAGCTAACCGCAGGGCGGCGGCGGCGGCGGCGCTTCCCACTGACTGGAGCAGAGTCAAGCTGCAGGTTGCATCTCTGCTCAACGAATAGTTAGGGGCTGAGTTCCAGTGAAATCCTGAGCTAGAAAAATAAGAAAAGAAAGAAAAGTCAGGTCTCTTTCTGAACTCTGTCACCACCTGAATAGAAGTTGTTGTTGTCCCGTTTTTTTTTTTTTAAATAAAAGTAATAGTTGTTGTAGCTGCTTAGTAAAGATTGTACACCCATTTTTAAAATGATGAAATGATGAAAAATATCTGTGGACATCTTTATGGTAGCAACCATGGTTTTCATGATCCATGAACTCATTTAATATTTAGAATACCCTGATGCTCTAAGTGATCTTGTCATCTCCATTTCTGGGAAAAGTTTACTCAGAGAATTCATGTGAATTGCAGAGTTTATATACACACCGGGGGCACTCGCTGCCATCAAGGTAATACTGATTGAGAGCCACCCCATAGGACAGGGTGGAACTACGCTTGTGGGTTTCCTAGACTACAAGTGTTCATGGGAATAGAAAGCCCCATCGCTCCTCCAAGGAGTAGCTACTGGTTTCGAATGGCCAAACTTGTGGTTGGCTGCCCAACATGTAAGCATTACACCACCAGAGCTCCCATTAACAGAAGTCTCTCGCAAATCCAAGCCTTCTGCTCAGTTTCCTTGCAGTGGTCACCATGTCTGTCATCCTCCTCTAGGCTCGTCTCTACACCTTCCCTACTACTTTGCTACTTTGTAGCAAACAAACTGAACCTGCTGCTGCCAAGTAGCTTCCGAGTCCAGGCAACCACAAGTGTTAGGGCATAGAACTGCTTCACAGGATTTTCTTGGCTGTCATCATAACTGGAGGATCCCTGGTCTCAGTGCTTAAAGCACTGAGCTACTAACTAATGTAGGCAGGTAGTTCCATGGGAGAAAGACATATACAACCTTGGAAATCCTCTGGGGCAATTCTACTGGGTCCTCCAGGGTCGCTATAGGCTGGAATTGATTTGACTGCGATAGGCGTGGTTTTGGTTTACTCTTATGGAAGAAGATTTGCTGCATAGGAAAACTCTAAACAGGACCACTCTGATTCCATGTAGCGATTTTGAGTTGTGAAAAATGGTGGGCAGGATGAAATCCTTCTCCCCATTTCTGGGATTCGGACACCAAAGCCCTGTGAGAAGTGACAAGGCATGCTGGCAGCCCTTCAGTTAGGGGTGGCACCAGAGTTTGAATCCACACACGTCTGACACCCTCCAGACTGCGGCTCTGATTTCCTGGCTCGTGCAGGTGACGGGCGGGCTCCCTGCTCCAGCGGCTGCACAGACAGCAGCAGGCTGCTCTGTTTTTCTTCGTCTGGTCTGTTCCGTGTGGTCCCGCTGGCCTTCCCATGTGCCAGGGCACTTCCTGCCTTCAGCTGCTTTGATGGCGTTCAGAGCTGGAGGGGGCAGGGAGGTCAGGGGTTGCAGTTGGGAAAAAGAGCATTTTAAAATCTATTAGGAATTGGAGAGGGGGGCCGGGGAGAGAAAACAGCAGAGAAATTTTGGTTTGCTTTGCTCCCCCCCCACCCCCACCCCCCACACCCTGTTCAAGCAGAGGCCTTTGGGCTTCCGGGTACCTAGGCTGCAGAGCTGAAAGTGGGCCCAAGCTTAGGAATCCATTAAGCTTGGGTTTTATTTAACCACGAATAGCATTTCCCCTTATTCTTCATTAGTTTTCATGCTTTGCTCTTAGGAAGGGTAATTCACCAAAGATATTTAGGTTCCCACTCCATTTTTCTCTTTCTTTTTTCCTTTTTTTAACCCACGGCTGGAAACAATTTTGCAAATGTGATTCCGGTGTTTTATAAAGGTGCTTAGCAGAGTTCTGTGAGCGCCGTTCTTTGATGTCCCTTGGTTTTCTAACAAGAGAAAAGCACTGGATAATTTTGAAGCCAGCCCTGGGCCCTCCGTTTGCCACTGCGGACTCCAAAGAGCAGATCCTGAGATGTTAAGAGGAACCTTTGTGTGCCGGGCACCGGTCTAAGCTTACCCTGTAATGTTGGATTCTGTGAACCATCGGATGAAATACACGTTGAATGCCTCGTCTTGTGGTGCAGTAGAAGTTCTGCAGACAGGAAAAGGCAGAGAGGCTGTTAGAAAGCCGTCTTTATGACTTCGGGCCGCTCCCTGTTCTTTTCTATTGTGCTCTCCTTGCCCCAGGAAAAGACCTGAGGGAGAAAAGCCGGCCTGTTCTTCCGTAGGACTCACTGTTTATGCCACTAGTGGTAATCCCATCTATTGTCTTTGTTATACTAAGGAGGCAGGATTAGGGTAGCGTGTACTTTCACAGCAATTTCCTGTGAGATATAAAAGAGATTCAACCAGCCAGCAGGCAGAGGTGGGGAAGACAGATGCCAAGCCACCTGAAGATTGCCCAAGAGCAGAAACTCAGAAACAAGGGCCTTCCTGCAGGTAAGCCTTTGCCCACAGCCCCAGTGTGGACCCCGTGAGCCATACAAGGCCCACTAAGTCATCAGGACCAGCTGACATCGCAGGCCTTACCAAAGAGAAGCTGTTCTGGCCCTCACAGTAGGGGTGAGTTAATTAAATGTTCCATCAAATACAGCAGGCTACTTTTAAGTTGATCATTCTCTGTGGCCCACAAGTGATGGTATAAATTTCCAAATGGCGGTTGGCAGAAAAAAAGTTCCCCACCCCGGCCCTCGAATTAGCACCATGCATTCAGACTTCTCGCCTGCTAAGCTCTGAGAAAAGCACCTTTGTCGTTGTGGTACCGGCACAGCAGCAGCTCTGGACACCTACAACATTGTTCACGACGGAGCTAAGGAGCCAGAAATGGAATGGTTGCAGCGCATGACGAATACCGTTCATCAGGACAAGATGGCGCATGTGAAGAATGTTAAAATGGCAACGGTTTTGTTACCTACAGATCTAGCACCATTAGAAAGAAAGAAAAGAGAAGTTTTAGGAATATATTTCCTGGGCCTAATCTCACTCTTACGTGAAGAAAACCTGCTTTCTTTAGCTCTGCCTTAGTGATTGAAGTGCCCCTTCCCCCTCCCGCCCATCGAGCCTTTACCAGCAATGACCACAGTGTGAACACGTGGAGGGATGCATGTCCAGGGCAAGGGTCCTCAAACTTTTTAAACAGGGGCCAGTTCACTGTCCCTCAGACCCATTGGAGGTACGGACTACAGTTTCTTTAAAAAAAACTATGAACAAATTCCTATGCACACTGCACATATCTTATTTTGAAGTAAAAAAACAAACGGGGCAAAAGCACCCAGCGGGCTGGATAAATGCCCTCGGTGGGCCTCATGTGGCCCGTGGGCCGTAGTTTGAGGATGCCTGGTCTAGGACGGTGGTGTCAGGTAGGTGATGGATTGCTAATCACAAGGTTGGTGGTTCACGCCCATCAGCTGCTCCACTAGAGAAAGATGAGGTTCTCTGCTCCTATAAAGATTTACAGTCTTGGAAACCCTAGGTAGGCTCACTGTGAACTGGAATCCACTTGATGGCCGTGGGTTTGGGAAGGGAGAAATAGAGCATAGTTTATTCATGTTCCTGAAAGAGCAAAGGAGAAGGACATTATAACATGCACCCTTGTCCCCATTCACACACCACACATTCTCAAGAACTCCAATACACACACACACCCTCCCATCTACGACAGATAGTCACACCGCTCTACTTTTAGCTCCACGTTTACCTTGTCTTGAAATCTCGGAAGCAAAGATCCCAAAACTAAGGGCCCCTGGTCTTTGGCTGAGTTGATTTTTATGAGCTATTGCACAAGAATGTCAGCCCTTTGAATATCTAGTTTGCAAAATCTTCTACAGGAAGTTTGAATAGCCCGCCTGCTGCCTGCCAGTGGCCATCCGCCCAGTAGACTCCTGCAGTCAGTCATCAGGCTAGCCTTTAGACTCTCCTTCAAGGCTTCTCTGTTGGGCCTGATCAACTAGCCCGTGGCCTCCCTCGTTGCAAACATGCGTGCACTGAGACAGCCTGTGAGTCTGCAGCTTCCTTGGAAGGCTGGGGGAGAAGCACATTGGAGCCTTCAGAGTCAGCCAGACCTGGAATCAAATCTGCCCATGCCACCTGCTAGCTGTGGTTGGATTATATAAATGTAGAGCCTGGGTGTCCACATCTATAAAGTGGAGATGATGATGTCTATTTTGTAGTGTTGTGGTCACTTTTACTCCCTTTACATCACTTTCCCCATCTGTCTAAGAAAGAATAAGGTCAGACAGTGTCTTAACTGTCAAGCTCTACAGTTAGTTCTAGAAGCTTGAGCTACCATAAATGTTGAAAGATGGTAATGTGTCAGAGACCAGGGGACACTCTCATGATCATTGGGTTCCAAGAGGGAAGTTCAACGGCAGACCAGAAGTACTTACTGGCCATCCCCATTCCTGGCCTTCCAACACCAGTCCACATGCTGGATCCTCCCATGCCTTTGCAGGGCACTCCATGTGAGGTTTTGACTTGGTTATATTGAATAAAAAACGACTCCCTGAACATCAGATTATCTCTCGGCGTGGAAATTTAAGGCTGAGTTTAAGGCTTGTTAGAGATTAACACAGTCGAATAAGAAAAAAATCTCACAACTTATGTAAGCATGGACTCTTCTTAGTCCTGATCCCTGGCTTGCCAACCACCGCTGCACCTCCGTGGACAGGAATTGCGGGTGCCAACACCAGAGTAGGTCCCAATTCATAGAGCAAGCCAAATGCTTCCCTTGTTCAAGACACAGTGCTGCTTCTGGGGGTGTTACCATGAATCAGACCTGGGCCCTGCCCTCAAAGAACTCGCCTACGTACTCAGTATGCGGCAACTA